ACTCAGCAAGAATCGGTAGAATGAGGTCAAATGAGGAGACGGATCGGTGGCCAACAGAATGAACAGCCTCCGGCCACGACCAGCAGCCAATTTGATGCCAGGCCGATGTGAACATCTGCCGCCGGCCTCCTACAGAGCCAGCATGTCGGTCGAACAGACGAACAGACAGCCTGTGATGCAGACAGAGTCGGCCGGTGGGTGATTCCTGCCAGAAGCGCAGGTTAATCAGAAGACCGCCTGTCGAGAGGCCGAGACGTCAGCTCGTATCCTTCATGTAGCCACCACCCTTCACCCACCCACTGTTCTCTCGAACAGAGCTCACTTCGAGGGAGGAGGAGTCGGCTGTGCTGGTATCATCCCGCGCGTCGGCAACCAGCACCGAATGGCATCACGCAGGCTTGCCTCGGACAAAGGTTCGGTTGACGAAATTGCTTTTGTGCTCGGCCAAGGCGAGGACAGTCAATCCGGATGAAAAAGGGAGCTGGACAAAAGTTGCATTTTACAGTCTCCTCTGTGGAATCGGTCTTCTGCTCACTTCACCGTGTCTTGAAGGTGTTCGTCTGGAAGCGAGGGATGTTTTTTTCGTCTCCGTGAGCCACTTTGGTGGGCTGACAAACGAGATTATTGACACGATAAATAAGCATAGTGGTCGCGTTGTCAGGGCGACAAGGATTGACTTCACCTGTCTCTTTGACGAGTTCGTAACTTGGTGCCGAGAATGGCAGCACTCAATGATGATACCAACTACGATGCCGGCTAAAAGTTTGAGAATGTACCAAGTCCACTGTCTGATGCTGGGAATCATGACAACTACTATGTCAGACAACTTCGGACTAGGTGCCTTCTACTAAGTCGCCCTGGCAACAAAACCAATTTGCGACAACGAGGTTAACCCATTTCTATAAATCGAAAGGAGACTGCGACCATACCAGAGGTCACAACATCTTGGTATTCATATCTTGAAAGCCTAGTGGATTAGAAGTGAAATCGCTTTTGGGTTTTGGCAAATTCTTTGTAAATGCTGGTTCCTGACTTTGACCACGTCTGCTGCGATGGTACGGACACAGGCGCAGCGATCGTAAGACAATGGGTGAGGGAAATATCCAACTCTAGAACCGATTTACGAATAGTTTCCACACACCTCTTCAAAATAAATTGAACGGTAAGCAACATAAAGCTGTATTTTTCGAATTAGGTTTTGTTTTCGTGACTACCAGTAT